CTCTAGCTAGGCCGACGGTAAAGTAGGAACAGGAGTTGATTTTAGTCAGTAACGGTCTGTCACGAAAAGGGCCGGAGATGACATTAGATGATTTCCCATAAAATATACCGTTAATCAGCTGGCTAATCCCTAAAACTATACCTACGTAAAACTTATACTCAAATTGTATCGATACTCGTTAAATACTTAGTCGGCACAACCCTAGCAACGGCAGCCATCTTATGCGACATTTTGGATTGTAGGTATGCACCTTTTCTTCGTAGGTATTTCAAGTCCATATATTTCCTATGTCAATGTTCCATAATGAGTCTTATGGAATTTTGTAGCGTTGCAACATTTTATTTTTAAATGTGAACCATGGTACCTACTTCCTTTTTTTTTAAATTTTAGGAAAACTTACAAAAATTAGCATCAGTATCTGAAAAAAGTCTGATATAGTCATGCTTTGACAAAATTGACTGGCTGGACCGAACCGAAGTGATACCTGGCCATACAGAAAACCTGCGTGAAACAAAGCTGGCGTTGCATCCCTCATATCGTTACTCCCAAAACGCCTAAGTTTTGTTTCATCGGTATTCTATGTCGTCGTTGTATAACTCCGGTCAAGCCGGCCCATTCACGGCAAATCATAGCACTCAAATACTGAATAAAATTTTATACGGAACTCAAATTTAAAATCGTTACAATATACATATCATAATATTTTGTAATCTTGATATATTTAAAACGCTACAGTAATTAATGTAACAATTGCTTTATCAATGATAAGGATTGACGCCATCCTTATACTTCTGAATCGCAATGCGACAAATAAAATTTATAGTGTGTGTTTTTAGCATATCTTTTGTGACATAACCTCACTTTGTTAATAGCATGTTTTAAATTGAAAAAATCGTGTAAAATGCTTTCGTTTAATACTCCTAGTGTTTTATTAGTGATTAATACGATTTTTTAAGTGTAAATTGGTTATTTTATATATAATATCTATTGTATTGTGAAAAATTTTCGGAGGTCGGTAGGTAATGCGCGCGAAATTCCCGGTGTTCCAAACTTAAAATCCTACGGTATCCTTGGAATTTATTTAACGATGTGATTCTTGCGTATTGGGTTTTCATCTTAATTTTTTTATCGTTTATTAAAACAGTGATGTGATTATTATAAAATTGTTTTGAAATGTGTACTATAAGCTATAATTATGTAAAATATAGGTTTGGTCCCTTAATTAACGTGTGGTAAATAAAATATAATATAATTTACAAATTTCTGTCCATATCTAATAGCTGATACTATTGTAATATTATGTATAAAGTACCTAAAGTGTTCTATTATTACAAACGACTGCTGTAAACCTCAAAAACACATTTTTAATTATAATCAGTATCACTACATAGTATAAAACAAAGTCGCTTTCTCTGTCCCTGTATTCCTATGTATGCTTAAATCTTTAAAACTACGCAACGGATTTTGATGCGGTTTTTAATAGATAGAGTGATTGAAAAGGAAGGTTTATATGTATTATAACATTCATTGAATAGTGGAGAAATTTAGTATCAGCATTGCTCCTGTTTGGTAAGCGCAATTTGGCGCCGCGGCCTCGGCCCAAAATAGGAGAAGGAACGGGGGTGTTTTAGTCAGTAAGAGTCTGACACTCTTGGAGAAGTCATTTGATGATTTTCCTCTTGCAAAAATAAAGCCGTTTGTAGTAGCTAGTTAAAACAATAAGTAATAAATACTATACTAAATTTAATTGATAATGTGATATTTATCACAGAAACCGGGTTACAATAAAATAGATTAACACATGTATTAAATATTTATTAATCTTTTAATCTAGTATTAGGCCTTCTGATTGGTTGTTGTGTTTCTTGATCAACCAATCACGTTCGTTTTAATTTTATTATATTGTTCATTCTTTAATGGGCTTACGGTGAGTCTGTCTGTTTATATCCTTGTAGGAATTCTTTGTAGTTTTATTAATTGAGATAGTGCATACTTCATCATCATCTTCCTGCCCTTGTCCCGTTTTATTTGGGGTCGGTGCAATATGTTTTTTTTCTTCCACTCTGTCCTGTCACCCGTCACGCTATCACTGACTCCTCTGTCTTCCATATCACTTCTCACACAATCCATCCATATTTTCTTTGGTCTCCCTCTCCCTCTCCATCCATCCACATTTATACACATGGCTTTTTTTGTAACGATAGTGCATACTTGTATTTTCTATTTTATTTATCGTCATTAAATTAGTTAGGTATGTTCAAGGTTCATTCTGCTAAACTGATTGTTCTGTTGACGCGGTGGCTGGGCGACGAGCTGCCGTGCAACGTGTCGCGGGTTCGATCCCCGTACGGAACAACTCTTGTAATCTCAAATTGTTGTTCGGGGTCTTGGTGTGATTTGTATGTGTTTTTTCTATGTTATGTTTGTCAACGCACACACGACACAGGTGAAATTCCTAGTGTAATTAAATAACTATATAACTCGTATGAAATTCGTGTTTATACGTACCTACCGTCGAAATCATATTTATAATCTCAGCGGAGCTTCATAGTATATGACGTAAATAATGTGAAAAATGCAGCATAATAATTACCCAAATCTTTTATATGTATATCATTTCCGATCGCTATATCTGTACGAAATCTTATCAAAATCGGCCCAGCTGTTTAGGCGATGAAAGGCTACCAAACAAATAAAAAAATATAGGAAATTAAGATTCGCATTACGGTACTTATATTACGTCTTTCTGGCGCCATAATGATTATGATGTAATTAATTAAAAACATGTTATTTTAATTATAAACATATAGACATCCTTTTCTTTCACAATCAAATTTACACAAGAAAGTATTTACATATGTATAAAAATCTACATTACAAATCATCCTTGTTATGCAAATCTCAACTTCACGACACAAAACATAAGATTGCTTTTAAATAAAATTTTATCTGCATCGCTAATCATCTTTGCTATGCTAATTTGGACTCTTTAGTGCAAAAGATAAGAATCTTTTCGCGTATAATGCTATGCGATATTAGTTATCAATGACAGATTTAGTTTACTTTCATTTTTATAAGTTTTAGTATTCGCTGAGCCGCGAACAGTTATGGTCGAATATCTTCAAGCTTCATCAGTTTCTGAGGTATACAGATATGTTTGCAATAATAGAACATACTTAGTAAAACATCGCAGTGATTTAAAAGTAAAAAAAGTGTGCTAATCAACTTTTAAGTTCGTGCAAAAAGTGATTCTATGTGCATTACATTTGTGTTGAAAATCATTTGAATTGTTGAACAAAATGGCGGTTAAGCACAAAAGAGTTCCTCCACAAAAGCGTCTACTAAGACTCTTTGTAAGCAACCTGAAAAAGAACACTTCAGCTCTAAAAGAGTTAAAGGAATCAATAGAGACATCACGACCGAACGATTACGAGAAAATAATCGATATGACGAATGCTGTCAACGAAAAACTCGATGTAGTCCATAAAATACGCAACGACATCAAAATCTACAAAACCATTAACACAATATTAACAAACCACTACATAAAGGTGACCAGAGACCACGAAAATTGTATCGGTAACAAAATTTTGAAATTAGAAGAGAAAATCAAACGGTCTTACGACGATTTGAAATTGGAACTGACAAAGATGGCGTCCGTCAGTGTTGCCAGTCAGAATATTTCGTCGCCGATACAGAATAGCAACGTTATCGTTGTTGGCAATGATTTGAAATGCAATCAGTTCAATCAGTTGCATATTAGGAACGAAATGTACAATAGTATTATTAGGAAGATTGATAAGCTATTCTGTGGCATGGTGAGTTGAATTTATTTGAGAGTTTATCAAGCTTTTCATTTCATTGTTCTTTAAAAAAGAATCACCTTTTTATTCGACTCATTAAGAGGAAATTATTTCAATGAAACACAGATTTTTTAATTTTTAAGGGCTGATTTTTCAATAGTCTCTTAAATGTAATCTGAGGAATAAAATTGTTGCTGTCACTGTCTTATACAAACATTCTGACGCGACAGCATCATAATTATTGCCCAGGTAACTTTTATTTAACCATTGAAAAATAGCCCTCAATAGGTCATAAAACAACAACGTTTCGTCATTAAAGAAAACTAGATGAAGCCGACATATTAGTTATATACTCTAAGAAGGAACGCCGAAACTTAAAATCCAGAAATTCAAAGACTGTATTAAGACCAACATTTACCGTAAACCATCTCATCAACTCCGTTGTGACTCTAAAATATTTGTAAAAGTTAATTTTTCCCCTTAGAAGTATTACGAATTTCATACGATTCGAGTGCAGCTGAAAGCTCTGTAATTAAAATGTTGCGATGCTGATACCCCGAGAACTCATAATAATAACAAACACGACAGAAAAATATTTCTCGAATTATGTAATGTTCGAAAATTATTCGCATTTCATTGGTGCATTTGTATTATCTCAAGGAGTATAGTCATTGTAAAAAGGCAAGCAATGGATTGATCATGTTTAACGTCTTACTCATTATCGTTTGGCAATTCTCGACTAGTTTCAAGCAATGTTGGGGTTTACCTTCATAGCCAGCATTGTGCGAGATGCAACGCAGTGAATAAAATGGCCGTTATTAGTGATCAAATGGCTGCGCGAACGTTTGCCTTTTTTTGCGTGATAGTTCAGCAAACGAGCAGACGGATTGCCTGATGGTAAGCAATCAGCGCCTCCCATGGACACCCTTAACAACAGAGGAGTTACGAGTGCGTTGCCGACTTTTTGGTGATTATGGATTTGGAGACATACAGATTGCGGGAGGGGAAGAATTGGGCCTTGGGTAACCTTACTTACACGGCGAAATACAACGCTGTGGTTGTTTCGCGCCAGTTTTCTGTGTGGCCGTAGTATCATTCTGGTCAAACAAACCCATTCGTGCCGAAGCATGGCTCTCCCACATGTAATTTCCATAATAATGATTTATTTATCGTAATTTTGTCACCGTCTTCTTCCAGGCATACCAGGACCGCATAAAGGAGGAGGAGCAGAAAGAGGCAGAGACGGCTCGGTTGGAGGAGATCCTCAACATGTGCGCCGAGTATGAGAGACAGATCTCTTCAGGTGAGTCTACGCTGTGTTCTTTTCCGGGATAGGTTGACAAATGAACAAACAAGGATTACCTGATGGTAAGTAATCGGCGCCGCCCATAGAAACTCGTAATACCAAAAGGATTTCAGTAGGTACTAATAATGCGTTGAAGACCTTTTATGGGCTATTTTTTGGGATTCAAGTTTAGGGGATTCTGGATAGAGGATGGGGAGAGGATTGGGATTCACACGATGAAACAGTACAACATAACGTAGGGCCTTGATATCATTCCTCTTCAGCTGGCGGGTCTAATCTCGTCGTAGCGTTGCTCTCACACGCTAAAGTAAAAATCTCTGAAATTCCTCCATAAATTTGGAAAATTACTGGCTTAGTAACAAGTAAAGAAAAACATTCAGTTATGACAAAGATACATGAAATAGTACGACATCCTTAGATACTGTTTTGGTCACATGGGTTCTATTATTTATAATTTTTTGTAATATTATGTACTCGCACGATTAGTTTGCATTCAGCATCATCATCATCAGCCTGTTTCCGTCCACTGCTAGACATAGGCCTCTCCAATTGCACACTGAGCTCGATGTTCAGCTTTTCTCATTCAACCACTGCCAGCTGGAGAGCGCCCTACATAACTAGTTTGGGTTTCTTATTTATATTACACCATTTCAAGACCTACAAGGTCTAATTAGAACTCGCCAGCCGATATTAGAAGTAATAAACACATAACCAACCTTTTTTCTCACCATATTTAACCAACGAACCTTCACATTGCACACCCAAGGCAAACAAAACCAACTTAAACAAACCGGTGGACAAAATCGGAACTAATATCGCTCCGAAGAAAATATCAAAGCGAATATTTTTTGCTAAAGACACTAGCGACACTGACAACTGAATGAGTATGTTTGTTTGTGTGTATTTGTATAATATAAAGTTACTTGTATCAGTTTTCCGTTGTCGTATGTAATCTGTATCGGTTCATTGATAATAAATTAGTTCTTAGTAAGAATGTGAGTGAAGGAAAAGGACATTTTCTGTGTCATTTTTGCGTTGGTAAGAGTTTTTTGTTAAAATTTATTGCAAACAGTTGTTCTCTATTGTTTAATGTGTTATTTATTAGTCACCCTTTTTTTGTAAAGCGAAAATCATCGAATGAATTCTCGTTAGAGTGTCAGACTCTTACTGACTAAAAACCCTCGTTTCGTCTCCTGCTCTGGGCCGAGGTCACGGTGCCTCATTGCGCTTACCCCGCAAACCTGGTTGACTAACTCTTAATGTTGAAAACTTAGTCAGTGCAACAACCTTCCTTAAGAAGGCCGGCAACGCGCCTGTTACTCCTTTCCAGGTATCCACGGGCGGGGCTGATCACTTACCATCAGGTGATCCGTCTGCTCGTTTGCCTTCTATACCATTAACAGTAGGCTTGTTGCTCTAACTTGAATTAAGAAGCCAGGCAAATTAAAAGTTTAGGTAAAAATGTATTCCTTAATCTGTCGGCTTCATCTAGTTTTTCACATATAAATTGACGTGTAAAAGTGCCGTTTCATGGCCTATTTGCAAAAATAAATTCATTGTTTCATTGTCTTCCGTATCAAATTCGTGCACGGCCCAAATTTATCTTTCTTTCACATCTATTCATCCCTTTTGAAATTCAGCGCTCTTGAAATGACTGAACAAATTTTTATGTAGCGAATTTTACCAGGCGAATTGAATAGTTCTTGACGAAGATGTCAATTTTGAATACCGACAAACGTACAGTTTAATTCTACTTGACATAAACTATGAGTTAAAACTTATATTTTTCTTAATTATATTTTGAGAGATATACCTACATCTATAAATTATATTACAAAACTGAATAGTTTCTTTGCTTAAACGTGCTTATCTCCGAAACGGCTTGTTCGATTTGAACAATTCTTCTCGTATTGGATAGTCGAGGAAGGCTATTAGGCTATAAACCATCACGCTACGACCAATACGTGCTGAGCTGCGGCTGAAACCGTGCCCGGCAGTAGCTTATTATTAATATAGGTATCTTCTTAATTTCAGGCATTCCAATAACGCCAACGGAGAAGAGGCCACACAACAAAATCATCACAAACGGGTCACTCCCGCGCAGCGTCGCTTTAAACAATCCCAACTTCGTACAAACCAGCGATGGGTATTACAAGTAAGTTTATATTGATGCCTATTACTATAAGTGTTATGGTTGCTTTTAATTTGAATCCAGATTTACTTTTAGTTGATGTTTGAATTATAAATATTATACGCATAATTTAAATTAAAAAATAAACTTCTGTCGCATCATAAAGCGCGTAATAAAAGCTTAGCTGTTTGATATTCCAAATTTATTTATTTTCATATAACTTTCATATATTTTTACCCTTATGCAAGGTTATTGTGGAATTTGAAACGTAAAAAGGTTTTATAAATAACACATTCTAACCTCTATGTCTCTTTTCCAGGTTTGAAACTAGTCATAACAAAAACTCACCAATGAGCCAGTCTCTTCCCATCCAAAGGAACCTCTCCAGCTATGAGAACTTCGACACTACCTCTCCCACAGAACTCACTCCAGAGGTCGTCATTCCTCAAAACAATTATGAAAATGTAGGCAGAATGGATGAAATAGGAATTCCAGTCTTTGATGATCCATCTCCAAGAATGCACGATTTGTCTAGTCCGATTATGATAAGGAAACTTCATAACCAAAGTGGGGATCGCATCCCCAACCTCTCCTCCCCCATAGGCAGCCCTTACGAAAACGTTTACTATAGAAATAACGTGTACGGTAATCTAAAACCGAAGTCCCCTAACACACAAAGCCCTAGGACTAGAATTAAAACGACGTTTGCCCATAAAATAAACCCACCATCACCACAATATTTTATATTCCCCACACCGCCTCCAGTGGATAATTCGAAAAAACCAAACTTCGAACGTACAGAACAAGAAAAGCAAACTAATAATGAAAATGATAAACCCAAGTTTGATGGCATTGAAAAACAATTGAGTCTCGAAGAAGAAATACCAATGATAGACGATGATTTGACAAATGACTTAGAGTTTAGATATTCCAAAGTAGCAAACGATGATAAAAAGGAAGCGACTCCCGAAAAGAGTCCAGACGTAGTTATAAACAAGAATCAAAGTTTCGATGACATGAAAAAAGAACTAATGGCAGACATTCCAGAATTAGAAGAATTTGAAAAAGACTTAAAGGAAAATAAAAGAGATAAAATTATAAAGAACATCGCAGAAGATATAAAGAAGATCGATATAGAAGCTGACTCTTTAGACAGCACAGTATTAGATGACAATGTAGATGAATTAAAGACTAAATATGAGAAACTGAAAGAAGATAGAAAAAAGTTGGTGACAGAGATTCATGAAATCAAATGCAAGATGTCTGAAATTAGGTTACAGGAAGATGACATTCTAAGAGAGGTAAGTTTTACAAATTTTATTTAATTTAAATGTTGTAAAGTTTACACAAATATCGAATATATGAATTAATTCTTCTCTTTTTCTAGTTGGAAATGGAGAAAGCCCTGATCAAAGGAGAGTATGACTCAGAAATTGCGATTCTAAACATAGAACAGAAAAAGAAAATGGACCTCGTCGAGAGTGCAAAGAAAATAGAAGAAGAAATAAAACAATTAAAAGAAAAACAAGAGACGAGGCAGAATGAGATGAGAGATAGAGTCGAAATCGCTACTTTGAAGGTTGAAAGGTGAGGCTTATTTATTTTTTACTAGCAACACTTATCAGATAGCAGATTTTCGTAAAATATTTTTTACCGTAGATTTTTTCTCAAATTCAACAGAAGCTTTCGACTGTTTTGAAAGTTTGAACACATACATGACCATAATTTTATTGATCACGAATTCTAAGACAAATAAAGTAAATTACATGTCATTTTTTACTGCTGATAGTACAAAAATCAGAAATAATCTAATGTGTTATTTTTTACCTTCTTTATATGGTGTTCCCAAGGTGCAACCTGGGTCCACCCTCTTTTTTTATATAATTGCTATATATCACTTGACTCCTTCTATTTCAGGATAGAGAAAGACTTGAAGAGCAATTCAGCCACACTTGAAGAGTTGCAGAATGCACAAGATATCTTAGACAACGAGACCAAGATATCAGAGGACCTGGAATTCCAGCATCTGGAGGAAGAGTCCGAATTGTATGTATCATTGTTTATTGTTATCTTTACAGCTGCGAGGCTTTTGCTTTGATCGTAAAATTACACAATTTATATGATATTGTGATTTTCAATATTTTCCATCACCATTTCAGTGCTTTCTGAAATTAAGCATGATTTTTTTGTCGATAGTCGATAGACTGAGTTTATTATACAATTGCAGGCAGGGATGTTACTGCAATCAAACTTTTATTACCGTATAATCATGAACCTAGCCTACTAAAACTAATAACTATAATTTCTTTCACAGATTATCAAACAGAGAAGACATCCAAAATGAAATCATTTTACTAACAAAGAAAATAGAAGCGCAGAAGACTAGAATACTAACATTAAAATCAGAAGCCAATAACAATCTAACATCAGCACTAGACGAAACTAAAATACTACATGCAGAGTACGTAAGACTACTAAACTTAGTCGAGGAACTAACAGGTAAAGTACAAGCTGTAGAAAAAGAACTTAAACCCATCGTAGCTAAACTCAACGATATAGAAAGAACTCAGTCTCCTGATAGCGCATTCTTCACGGACCAAACTAGAGCCAAGTCAGGAGAATTCGGCTATTCCCCACAAAGCTCTGATAGTGATGATATTGACCTGAAAATCTCAACCTTCGAAGATCATACCAAGAATCTAAAAGATAAATTTAATTCTATAGATCAAATGTCCCAATCTATGACTGTAGATATTGAAAGAAGAGTCATAACTGACCTGGTAGATCACAATGAAAGATACAGCGAAAGTCCATCCAAATCTTCAACGTCTTCGAAAGAAAAGAAAGGATTTTGGGAAAGGAATTTCGATTCTCTAAAACGAAAGAGTAAAAAACCAAAATCACCCGAAAAAGTCGACATTATGTCGCAGAGTTTGAACGAAAATCTGTTCTATAATGATAATATAGAAGCTGATGTTAGTTTAGACAAATTCAATAGCTTAAGACATTCGAAGAAGAAGGACAAAACACCTGGACCAGTAAAAAGTAATTCATCATCAAAGATACCAACATTCGCTGCTTTAGGAAAGATAATGAAAAAGGATTCGTTTGGTAAAAGATCTAGAGAGAATAGCCTAAAGAACGACGAATCAGACAAAGAAAACAATTCTAAAAATCGTTACATAAAGAATACAAAACCAATCAATGCAGATAACAAATACGTTAAAGCGAAATCTCTATCACCCGATAAAAAAGAGGAAGATATTATGGAAGAAGTTGATACAGAAGAGCAGAAAACTAAAGTTACATTCGAGAATACTCCCCCTAAAGAAAACAGTATACAATCAGCTAAAATTCTTCATAGAAAAAGCTGTGGAGATGAACCTAGCGTGAAAGAGTTTCAGAAAATGGCTGATGCTATTAAAATTCCTTCTCAAGATGATATCGATAGGATATCGAAGGTGACTATCGATGCACCGATACTGCCGTCGGATACTGATATGAATACGTTAGGGAAGAGAACGCTGGACAGTCTCATGGAAGTGGAAAGGAAACGACTTGAAATGTTGGAGGAACAAGGTAATAATTTCTTTTTCTGGCTTCGTGTACGATCAAATGTCTAGTTAACTAATGTTGAGTTCAGTGGCGTGTTGGTTACCGAAATTGATGTTTAGAAAAGTGGACGGATTTAGGCTGATGATGATGATGATGAAACTAAAACTGATTCATAATTTATGTTTTGTACGAAACAGGCTTACAGGATATCTAAAACGTTTACAATATTTGTTTCCAGACAATTGAATTATAGTGTAATAAAGATCTGACATGTTAAAATAGATTAGCACTTACCAGCAAAGTAAACATTTCAAGTACATCAAAAGAAGTCAATCTAGTAGTGGATCGATTCAAAGTCGAAATCAAAATCATTTATTCCAACTAAACCATAAATAGTTACATTTGAAACGTCTAAATAGAATAGTAGTCTGTCAGTCTGTTCGTCAGTGAAGCTTGGCTTTTCTATACTTATATTATAAAGAGGTAAAATTTTTAAGTTTGTATGTAGGGGTAATCATTGGAACCGCTGGTCGGATTTCCAAAATTCTTTCACTGATAGATAGCTACAACGTTCCTGAGTGCTATAGGCTATAAAACATCACGCTACGATCTGTAGGAGCCGAGCAGCGAGAGTAGCTAGTATTTAAATATAGAAAGAGAATCAACTAAGAAATATTAATTTTCATTAAAACTTAATATTTTCGTTCCAAAAGGATGCCAAGTAATCGAAAACGAACGTGAAAAGATATCGGAATTAAAACGCCGAGTACAAGACGAAACGAAAAAGCTATGGAACCAGAAATATCGCTCGGAACAAAGCAAGTCTTTGGAGGAGCAGTATCACAGTCTACCCCCATTGTTGCCGCGTGAGGATGAAGACAAGAGCTTCGACAGAAGTGCCATGGAGGACTCCAGTCTTATTGATGATAGCTTCATGGCGAATTCCAGCATTTTTGAAGAGAGGTGAGTCTTTATAAGCCTTATTTTTTGTTTCTGTGTTCTATTGTGTTGTCGTGGAGTACGTGTTCAAGGTATCTGTTTGTAAATTTATCAGCTTTCAAGTTAGTCCGTGGTTACTTGATTAAATGAAATAGAAATTGTTTTCAACCATTGATTTTATTATATAGGAAAATCCTGCAAAAATGTATTTTTCTGGCTAGAAAATGGCAGCTTATTCGAAAGTTTAATTTCTTGTGCGTCGGTTGAGCAGGCCTTATTTTAATAAAAACTTTTCTTGAAAAAAATCTTTAGATTAGTTTTGCTATAGGGTGCTCGCGGGCTGGGTTTAACATAGACCCAGATTAACACGAGTTAATAAACCAGATTACGCTGAACTCAATTTAGTTTAAGCAAGTTTTTATAGTAAAAGGTGAAATTGGCCCTAAGTAAAATTAAACCTACCCCTGTACTCGGAGTCATTGAATACTTACTTAACCCAGTAACAAAACGGTTATCGTTATAACTGTCACAGAAAATATTCAATTCATGAACTAGTGTTCATAACACACAAAGACCTACTCTCAGTGCAAAAATTATGATTCAATCGCTGATAAGCTATCAGGCAGTTTTCTCGCGACTCAACACGCGATCACTCGCGTCACACGTTTCGTTACACGTTAAAATAAATTGTGTGACTTCGTTTTTTAACGGTCTAAATTTAAATCATATTCCATTTTTGAAATCAGTTCTTAAATAGAATCTCTTTTAAATTCTGAAGGCTCGTTTACACGATACCTACCGTGTACTTGAACGGAGTAAATAATACTCGTGATTGTATTCAATAAATTTAAGGCTCGTTTAGTTCGTGTTTGTGTTGTTTATACCATGCAAGTCAAAGCAGTATGAAAAAGAATACAATACTAAACAAAAAATAGTTGAAATAATAAATGTTGTGTTTGTGACTGATCTATTGGTTATTTATATCAAAATTATTTATTTATTTACATAATTTTTGCACAATGGTTGACTGATTGCCACTGCTAGGCATTTTCTAACAGTCTACCTTATAATTATTTCAGTTGGTACTTGAGAAAAGTTGTAGTAATTGTTGCGTTTCCGATATAAATAAAGATATGTAAATTGTTACAATAGTTTAATGTGTGCAATAGGCAAGTAACTTGTATCGTGCAAATAGGGCTTCAAATCGATTGAATTGACAATTTTATTTTGGGTTGGATTTTTGTCAGTGGTACCATTTAAGTGTGTTTTTTTCCGGAGGGGAAGATCATCAAATGACTCTTGCCCAGGGCGAGGTGAGACGGAGTGTCAGACTCTTACTGACTAAAAACCCTGTGTTTATTGTGATTTTTTCTCTGTATTATGCGTATATACTGAAGTGGTTAAGTGTCCTGTTAGGTTAACTAGGCTTTTGGATGTGAACTATGAAATAAGTTGATATTTTTAATTATTCTTGTGGCCACAGAGGCTTAGTTTAAGTGGCTAACTAAAATACAAATTCTTTAATAAGTGTCACATAACTTATTAAGTGTGGATAGCCGACCAGCTCGAGCTCGGAGCAGTTCCACGGCGTGGAACAATGTTCGCGTTGTGTTTCGCCGTATGAGTGAGGTTATCTAAGGGCATATTCCCGCCAGCCCTCATCTCCAAATCCCTTAAAACCCACAAAAAGCTATCAAAGTGCTAGGAATTCTTGATGTTAGTTATTTCTGTCGTCGGCGCCTATTGCTTAACATCAGATAATTCGCCTGCTTGTTTGCTGACCTATTCTATGTATAAAAGAACCTTGGCGAACTTATTTAAATAAATTCCCAAAAAAAAATAAATAGATTGTTTAGTTTAACTTGGAATAAAAAGATTTTTGCTACCAATGTAACAAACTATATATATTTACCAATTTAAAACCCCTGTATGAAGGTTTATTTATTTATTTATTTATTTATTTGAGGTTAACCAACAACTGTTTACACCTTAACATTATCTTACAAATAATATTTGATCCTACACTTGTGTAACAATTAATTATAGGTTAACACCGCTAGTACAGAAATTGTGGCAATCATAAATCATAATACAATATTAATAAATCAATTACACAACAATGACAACAATGATAACAATAATAATTAAATAATACAATAATAAAGTAATAAGATAATAACAATTAAATTATTAATTAAAAATTAAAAAATAGGTACATTAATAAATAATATAATTCAAAATGTACAAGTCAAGTCAGAATCACTTAATATCCATAAATAACAATATAAGAATGCAGGGTAATAATATAGAAAACAAAAACAAAACAAAAAATCAATCAAGGTTTGGTTTATAATAAATCCAAAAAATATGCCTTTATCTGAGGGGGATAGTCATCTAATGATTTCTCCCGGTTTAGGTGGGGCGAGAGAGAGTGTCAGACTCTAACTGACTAAAAATCCCCCCGTTCCTTCTCCTGCTCTGGGCCGAGGTCGCGGTACATTCTGCGCTTGACCCGCAACCCCGGCTGAACATCAGCCCCATCTATTGTGTTCTTGGTTTTAAGGAACATGCTCAAACCATAAGCCTAAAATTAATTAAGTACAATTACTCAACCGAGAACGAACCTAACAGTACAATTATAAACACAGTGATAAGCAAAAAAAACATAAGGTACACTAGGTTGAGTTGTTTAACTAAATACATAATATATATAAAAGAACTTATGTACACCTTTCTGTCAAATTAGATTTTCAACCTTATGATGTTGTAGTAAAGTCTGAAATCCAATTGGGGTGGCTCTGTACATGTGGCATTATGCAGTACATGAGTCAAACTCATGCTTAGAAATATGCAAATGAGTAAAAAATAATTTGCATTACTCAGACGTATACATATAAATGGTCACTGTTAATGAGTTTTTAGAACTCATCTAAGTCTTTATTTTTGTGAGGGGAAAATCATCAAATTATTTCTCTCGTCCCAAGGTGAGGAGAGAGGGAGTGTCAGACTCTTACTGACTAAAAACTCGTCCGTTCCTTCTCCTGCTCTAGGCCGAGGCCACGGTACCTTATTGTTAGCCCTGCAACCCCGGCCATTCGACTGAAGTCTGATTTTCGATTCGTGATTGGTTATTTTTATAGAAAGAAAGAAAGAAAAAATGTATTTGTTAGAATGTAGTACAAATATAGGTGTTTGTGTTAGGTGTATGGAATCTCACACATTCTACCGAATCGGTGTACAAAATATTTAGCTTAATATCTAGTTATAACTATGCACTACTTATTCTAAATCTATGATAGGCCATCTAAAAAATCTTTATTGCAATAATAACATTTATTTAGCAAAAACTCAAACAATTTTCTTTTAAAAGACATTATGTTAAGATTTTTTAGCTCATTTGGAAGTTTATTGTAAATTTTGATAGCCATGCAATATGAGTTTCTGCTATATAATGTTGTGTGTTGGCTCGGTACAAATAATTTATTAGGGTATTTACTATTTCTACTAGTAACAGAATCTTTCTTAATTAAGATATCTAAATAGAGGGATATATTTTGTGGAAAAATAAAGTTAACTTAAGCCTTTGACTGCCGACTGAAAACTATTGAAGGCTAATCCTCCGCTACCGTAGGTCACCGGTGACCTACGCGGCGGTTAACGTTTGTTTGCATGTTTTTAAATAAATAGGTATATTGCCAATATAGAGTCATACTCAGCATAAAATATTATGTAATAGCATTCGGTTTATCATAATATCAGTAATATGACATCGACTACTCAACTTTGGCCATTTTGGACTCTGAGGAGGAGAAGGAACGGGGTGGTTTTTAGTCAGAAAGAGTCTGACACTCCCTCTCTCCTCACTTAGGACAGGAGAAGACATTGGATAATTATACTACCTTAGAAAGGCCATCCATACATGACCCACATGATCGGCCTATAAGTGCCCACTGCTGAGTATATGCCTCGTCTTACACGAAGAAGGTTTAGAGAAAGAGCTTAATACTCAAACCTTCTTCGTGTCGTCACCAGTTACCACGACTCGAAAAAAGTCACATTGGTACTTGCCAGGTTTCCTCATGCCTAAGAAGCGAGCTCCTTTAAACCACCAATACTAAGTACTATACATTTTTTTAATCCAAAATATTTGTATGTTTCAAAATAATGTGAAATATGTATGTAAAGTTGATGTATATATGACATATTAAAGAATGATTTAACGTAGATAAAATGTGAGTGATATCACCGCTTGTATGGACAGCGTGATGTCACGCTTTTCCATTAAACAATTGATACAAATTGGAGTGTGTTATACTCAACGTATAGTCAAAACAAAAAGCTATCGGAATATTATATGATGGCGAGGAACTGTTATTATAAAATGTAAAATTTTAAAAACCCCCGACAAAAAATCTTATATTCCTAATAATTAAAAAAAACGTGGCGTTGGGGACCGATCCAAATATTTTATTATCTTCTACATATTTCTATTTTGTCCGGGGTCTAATTTATTTTTTAATTTTATACTTTTTATATAGGTATTTTGTAACATTTTCTCTCGATTAAGTCATCAACATTCCCTTCCAGTGCGCTTTCATTTGAGACCCCACTCGAGTATATTTGTAGACCTTCGGTTACCCCCCATAACTTCTAAACGGCTCAACCGATTTTCTAAGAACACTAGCACGTAAGTCACCTTTAATAAAAAAAAAAAAAAATTGAAATCGCTTCATCCGCCCAGGCTCCAAGATGCCACAGACAGACACGTCAAAGTTATAACACCCCTCTTTTCCCGTCGGGGGTTAAAAACAATGTACTCCTAGGTTTTTTGTACGGTCAACTTGCAGACCGTTCATTTTTTTTTTTTTTTTTTTTAAAAACGTTGCCCCACACTAAGATTTTCTCCTGTGTCGTGGGTGCGTTTACAAACATACAAATTCACATACACACATGACACCCAGACCCGGAACAACAATTGATGGTTCATTGATGGTAAACATCCTACGACATCTAATAATACTCGT